AAGTGATGAAAATTATCATAGAAGATGATACTTTTTGACATAATGTTAATTATGCTCTGAAAACCACGAGGTCTTTTGTGAAGATTTTATGAATAGTTAAATAATGAGAGCACTCCGATTATGAAATTTATTTATGAAGCTCTGAATAAAGCAAAAGAGAAAGTAACAAGAGATTTAAGGAGTAAATGTGGTGTCTTGTAAAAATATATGGGAAATCATTGACGAAAAATTGGGTTGTTAACTACATCAATGTTTGTATGTTGTTGTATATTATTTGAATCCTCAATTTCATATAGATAAAGCGGCTAAGATTGTTTATATGCATGCATGAATAAAACTCTCTGAAGTTAATTATCTTAAAGCCAATGATTAAGTTAAAGATTTTTGTTTAAAGAATAGAATGTTTGGAACTGGAGCAGCTTAAGCGTGCTATTAGATGCGCTCACTAGGTAAATTTGATTTACATGTTATTTAAATCTATGAGTTTATAATTTATATTTATGCTTTCTATCAAAACATAATTATCTTAAAGCCAATGATTAAGTTAAATATTTTTGTTTAAAGAATAGAATGTTTGGAACTGGAGCAACTTAAGCGTGCTATTAGATGCGCTCACTAGGTAAATTTGATTTACATGTAATTTAAATCTGTGAGTTTATGATTTATATTTATGCTTTCTATCAAAACATATATTATTAATTGCATTTCATTTTATTCTAGAAAATCGGTTGGAGATGTCATGCCTGAAGTCAAAACATTGCTGTTAAAGTTTTTAGTTTTACTTGTTTAGCTTTCGAATTGGAGCATATTAAATCAATTGCGTATAAAGAGAAGAAATTGATTGACTATAGGTCAAATGAAAAAGTTTCTTTATTTTATGTTTAATAATGAATTGAAAGATACACCTAAAGTTAAAAAAACAAAAACAAATGGTATTTTTTATGATGAATGGATAACACCAAAAAATTAGAAAGAATTTGACTTGACGATAAAGAAATAATCTTTAATGCTGATGACAATGAAAATATCAATGTTAACATTGAAAGGGGCCATAGGAATTTGGAACTTCTACTCCATAATCATTTAAAAGTAAGAAACACAGTAGGTTTGGAGATTTAAAAAACTTAGAAGGTAATTTAACGTGGTTGTATTATTAATTTTTTATTTTATTTAAAATTATATTGAATTCAATGTTAATTGATATAGGAAGTAAGATTTGAAGATTGAAGAAGATTTTGAAGATGATGGTAATATGAAATTCAAGGCTGATAGAGTTATTACATGTGACGATTCTTTTGAATATGATGAAAATGATGATGTTGCTACTATGAATCTTGATTCGTGTGGCATATGTTGATTCTATGTGAGTACTTTAAGCTTAATGTTTAAATCTTATTTCAAAATTTTATTTTCTATTAACATTGGAAATTAAGATTTGTGGTTTTTCATATTTATGAATTATGTTTAATTTTAAGTGTTTTTAATTCGCTAGTTTCAAGGCTTACCTCTTGTTCCGACTTGGCATCGCTAAGGGAAAAAACGTGCCAGTTTCCAATTTTGCCTTTTTAAACATTGGTTGGCATCCTGTACATTCATGATATATTGATCTATAGGTCCACCTCTATTGGACATTTGAAATAATGGAGAAGAAAAATCTTTTTCACCAAGCCCATTGCCATAATGGTAGTCACTATCAACTCGATCATCAAATTGTTGTTGCACTAAATATTCTGATGTGATTGCTTTATTTGAATAGCAGGAATCTCTTCTTTTATCTTTTTATATATGTTGGGATGTTCTTTTACCATTTGATCCTAGTAGCTTGAATAAATGTAAATCTTATTATTCCCTCTAACCTGCGCTTGAATACTATATTTCCATTTCAAATCTTTTGCATTTCCCATTATACTTTTTTCAGGATCTCTTAACCATTTGAAAATAGCCTTAAATTGAAACCCTTATTCAAAATAAAGAGAACTGAATTCTCATAAGAAAATAGGAAATGCAAAAATTAAAATAAAATAAATTTTTAAGATAAAAATGTCAAAATGGCCCCAAAAATGAAGATGGGTTACCAACAACAAGAGGAGAGGTTGTGGAGGAGAAATGGTGGAGTAGATGCAGGGATGTAGCGGTTGCGCAGCGGCTGTGAAAGAAAGAACAAGGAAATAGAGGAACGAAGATGGAGGATGGTGGCATTGAGTTGCTAGAAACATGAAGAAATTTCTTGGTGGATCAACCAATTGAGAACAAAGGCATAGTTGCCTTGGGTGATAGCCTATTTTCTTCATGATGAAAAATTGGTTTTAAACTTTACAAAATAGAAAGATTTATTGAATTTATGAACATCTCTTTCTTTGTCTCGTTTGCAAAGAGCTTGCTTGTGCTATTGCTATAGAGGAATTTCTAGTGGCTGGTGTTGAGGGGTGGGGTATTGCGGGAAGCAGCAGCATGTCAGTCAATATAATTATATAGATGCCGGTCAAAAGCAGGAATTAATAGGCTGATGAAATGGCATCGAGAGGTTTTTTTTTCCTTTGGTGGCATTTGAATGTTGGGAAGCACATTAAAATAAAAAACGTTTTGCTTATAACTTTGTATATTTGTAGTGATAGCTTATGGTTTTTTTTTTTCCTTCCCTTAATTTGTTTGAGTTGTGTATCTGTGATGGATGGGGTGGAGTATGTTTTGAGATGCTGGACAGGTAGAGCCATGATGATTAGATTCTGCTTTTATTTCTGCTTTGTTGGACGAAGAGGAAACTTGAAAGTGTGATGTTGTCTAGGTAGGTGCAAGCTCAACTTTGAGAGTTTTCATTCAATTAGGTTTGATAATCTGGTACGTCTAGTAATAAACCATTGATGGAGTTCCGTTTTCCCCTTGGTGACTAACGTGCCGTTCTCTATTTCCATTAAATATCAAAGAGCAAAAAATTTAGAGCTTGTGGTGTTTTTTATAGGGAAACAAATTTAGAGCAAGTGATTAGGTTTTGTTGTAGCGTACATTCATCAACAGAGATTCAGGGCTTTTTGGCAGTATTCTTGCTTTTTGGTCGATATAACTACACTTCAATTCATGAAGTAATATTGTACTTGTGTGGTAAACTCACATAGCCTTTTATTATTGGATTAATGGGACTCTGCTTGAGGTATCATTCTTAATTCCTTGAATTCAATTCATGGGTTTTTGCATCCATTCTAAAGGAGTGATTTTTTTAGTACACTGTCATGCTGATAATTGATGCTATGAGTGATGAGGAATTGCTTTAGGTTCCTGAAGCTGTGAAACTCATTCTCTTGAGCTTTAACCTGTCTTAAAAAGTGAAAATAATATTTGAGTTTTGAACATATTAGTAGTGTCTCTTATACTTTGGATTAAGCTTTTGTGTTTTTGGGTGTTCATCTATTAATTTATTAGACTCAATTTGTGTTATCAGTGTTCCATCCCTTTAAAAATTGGCATCAGGATCAATGGTTTAACTGAGATGATGAGTTCTGTGCAGTTTTGGTTGCTTTTATGTTAAATAATCAAGGATCAATAATGATTGACCCTCATGTAGGCTCTAAATAATTTAGCAGGATTTGATGCATAACGTTTTGTAGTGCTGAAAGGCTTTTGTTGAAGAGGGAGTAATTGCTGATGTAGATAACTCAGATTTGAAGCGAAGATTGTTTTTGAACTTGAAACCGGAAATTGTCTCACTCAATATTGAAGATGAATTCAGCTCCTATTCTCTACTCGTTGTGGTTCCTACTCATTATCTTGAACTTTTTTGTTGATGAATTTCAATCTACTAATTTATTTTACTCATTTGGGAGCCATAATATCAACTGGGTGTCACAATCCAGTAATATTAACTTACATTGCAAGAAATCATACAAAGAAGCTTAAAAAGAGACAACATTTCTAATCCCTATGTTTATTCATAGATATCAGGAGTAAATGCTTTCTAGTAAATATACTTACAAAGGCTCTACCTTTGATGCCATTTTCTTGCATAAATTTATTTCCGCCTTCATAGGATTTCCAATTTTTGCGAACGTCTCTACTAATGTTTTGAGCTCAGTTTGGCGGGGGCTGTGTTCGACCCCCCCAATGAATACGAACAAATATTAAAAGATTTGATAGGATTTCAATGGAATACTGTCTTTAATGCAAGATTTTGTATGGTGACCATAATTTAGTTAGGTATCATTTATAATTACAATGCTATTTCTGTTCAGGTTGTTCTTTTCTGCAAATCATTTATTTTAATGTAAAACGATTTTTTTTTTTGTGGACTAAACTTGACTATTTAAAATTATTGATTGAAAATTCTCATATTAGACTTAAAAAGCTTTTTTATATTACTGAATTATTTCTTTTGCTTTTTCATGGTTAGCTGATTATGTAAACTAGCAATTTCAAAATGAATATGCTTAACTAAGCAGAACGTTCTTAATAAAATAAGCTTTTACTTAGTAGATGCAATGCATATTTCCTAATTGAATTTAGCGTACAGAGCCCTGAATTTCCAAACTGTTTGGCAACATTAATGACATTTGATCTATCAACTTACCGACAATCCTTAACTTTTATTTAAAAAACTATTTGTATCATCACTTATGATTCCTGAACTCTTAGAGGATTTTTAGTTCAAATATTTTAATGTATGCAAATTATTTGAAGGTTTAGTTTAGAAGAACATTTTTTTTTGGATTTCTTATTACAGAAATTATCATCTCAATAATTCTGAAGAGCTAGTTGTATGTTCACTAGATTCATTTTGAGGTTTCTTATAGATGTTCTACAAGGCATCCTTGTGAACTTCTCTTTTCATGTGGACAGAAAGCGCGAATGTTTCTCAGTTACCACAATATACATTTATGTGCATTATATTCTTGAGTGTATAAAAGAGTTTTCATTTTTATGTTATGGTAATCGTTTGCTATTCTTCCGTGAAATAATTTTTTTGTTTTTCTTAACTATAAATTTTGCTAAATTGAAGATATTTGTTTTAGTGTTGCAATTGGACGAGAAGGTGGTGTTGCACCTCTTATTGCTTTGGCACGCTCGGATGCTGAAGTAAGCTTCAATTTTTGCAGTTATTTTTACAAGTAATGGCTGTTTGATGTGCTTTTTTCAAGAACATTCGTCTTGTCGTGCTTTGTGGTAATTGTTGAAAACAGATGATTTTATGATCTTATCTTAGTTTTAGACCTTTAGGCTGTATTTTATTTCTTTCTTATGATGCACCTATTCAGCCTGACATGAGCTGTTTCCTCTATGCCATTGCTCTGACGCTTGTACTGGACAAGTAGTAGGTCTTATCTCTATTACTCGACCAAGCATTTAATATTTTTGTGTATTTTGAAGAAAAGAGTTTCATGTTGAACATATCAGTATCATAATGATCATCTGCTTTCCTTTTGCAGGATGTTCACGAAACTGCTGCTGGAGCACTTTGGAATCTTGCATTTTATCCTGGCAATGCTCTTCGTATAATTGAAGAGGGGGGTGTTCCCGCTCTTGTACATCTTTGTTCATCATCGGGGTCAAAAATGGCTCGTTTCATGGCTGCACTGGCACTTGCTTATATGTTTGATGGAAGGCAAGACATTTATTTCCAGTACCAATTCTTCTTGTAACTCAATGCAGTCACATTTTTAACAGAATAATTCTAGACTTTTTTCATATGTTAAATAAGGAAAATATATCACTGCCGTTCATCTGTTTCTTTTTTTTTAATTAATTTTAAATGGAAAAGACAATACTTACCTATTCGTTGGCTTCATCTGGGGCTTTTTATTCACCCATGCATATGCAGTGCAAAATGTACTGTTTAGGAAACTTCGAGTTAGAATTCAACAAGGGCTAAAAATTGTGAAAATATTAAGCATAATTGAGTCAACACCTTATATTCATCTTGATAGAACTGAGTAGAAAATGAGGATTCATAAAACCAGCCTTAATTTTTTGGTTAAGGCTGCAATGATAGATTAGATGGATATCAACCAAAATATTTAGAGTCAATTATATCTGAAGGCAACTATTTCAATACTTACTGATGAATTTTCCCTGTATGTATAATGAGATGAAGCATGTATCTTTTTTAGGAAAAAATTATTGACAGCTTCAACAGGCACTGGTTTTTCTGCATAAAGGTTTATAAAATTGTGCCTCAATGGTTGGGATAAAGCTAATGTTGAAGGCATCTAAATCAAAATCTTCTCAGTCCAATAATATAAGAAGTTCTAATAAATATGTTCAAGGCAATAGCTATCTAACTTGTAGAGTGAGAGTTGGAATCAAAAGAGAGAGTCTAGATTTAAGACTGAAAGATTGAGATTGATGTACGCTTCAGAGTAAAAATATGTTAAAGGAGAGAATTACTGATTCCCAGTAGAGCTAATTTATTTTGTTGAGGTAAAGAAGGGGTCATGATATAGTGGCTCTCTTCTTATATAGGAGATTCTACGAGAGGGATAATGAAAAAAATCTAGTGAGATAAGAAAATATATTTTATTCAAATCCTTATTAAATACTTGCATGAAATTATAGCATTAAAGTCTTGTCAAGTTGAGCGAAGTAGGGGATTACTTGTTACATTTTAGTTCCCAAGCCTTGGATAGATTTTCTTTTTATAAGTATATTCAAGGAATGAATGTTTTTCTTATTATGGATTATTATAGATTTGATTCATACGAGGGATGCTATGACACAAACTGTCATTATAATTTGATTTAATTGAGAATATGGAGAGGAGAGTTGGCATTAAATGATGTACAGGAAGAAGTAATTCTGCGAGGAATCATTCTCGGAGGCCCTAGGCATTTTATGATCTAAAGAATGATGCTTTGTTTATTTTTAGTAGAATAAAAAGGATTGGCATTGCTTTTTTCTATCATTGGAGATCTGTAAACACGTTGTGTTAAAGAACTTGGAGGGATATAGTGAGAGGGGAGAGAAAAAAAAATGTAATATATTAGACGACATTTATTTTAATTAAAAAAATAATCAATATACATCCATTATACCCATTAATAGAATTAGGATTTCGACCAAAATTGAAAACTAATCTCTTTCCAAATTGAAATGTAACCCTAAAACTATTTTAAATTTAAATACAGCATTGTTGAAAAGGATAATTTATTCTATTTAAATCAAAATAAATCTAAGAAAAATTGAAATAACCAGGGATTTATTTGAATTGCGTGATAATTTTAGGAATAATCTCTTGTCCTCCTTAATTTTATATAGATTTATAGAAGTCTTCTGTTGGAAATCTGATTTCTTCATTTCAATAATATTAGTAATAGAAGATTTCCCTGTTTGATTCTCATCAGTAAGCTCAAGCAGGATCTTGAATTTAGGTTCAGGAGTAGCAACTATTTTATCAGGCACGATAAGAGGCTCAATTATTGATGGTCGGCTATCTTCATCAAGTTTATTTGCAGACTAAATGTTTCACATCAATAATTTGCATCAATCAATTTCTCAAGGACCTTGGGGTATGGAAGCTATTTTGTTAAAATGACTGAAAACTTCCATATTTTGTGTAGGATGGATGAGTTTGCATTGATTGGTTCTTCATCAGAAGGGACTTCAAAGAGCGTTAGCTTTGAAGGTGCGAGGAAGATGGCGCTAAAGCATATAGAAGCATTTGTCCTTTCATTTTCAGATCATCAACTTTTCACCATGGCCGCTGCGTCCTCTGCTCCAACGGCTTTGGCACAAGTTCTTGAAGTGACTCGCATACAAGAAGCAGGGCATCTAAGATGCAGGTTTCTATTTGTCTTGTGTCAAAAGCAAGGTGTTTAATTAATTTTTTTCACTGTTGACCTGATGCCAGTTAATGTTGGTTTAGATAATTTTCTATATTAAGCCTGCTAAGTACGCATTCCTTTTCTTAATGACCCCTTAGCTTGACTACGTCATCCAATTCTTTCAAGGGAAATTTACATACCTGTCACACAATTTTTATATGTTTACATTATCAAACACTTAAACTTTCATATTTACATACGCAGCACTTTGGTGTCTTACACCTATGCATGAAAATATGTATTTAACTTTAAAAAAGTGGTAATAGTGATATGATATCAAATATTTGAGGGTTATATGTTTAAATATGAAAATTTTAGATGTGAGATGTGTAAATGCATTAGAATTGTGTGCTATGTATTTAGATGCCACTTCTTTTAAATGATTAAGCTCATGTTTTTTTTCCATAAAGATTTGTACATACTTGACAATGAATTATGTCTATTTACGCCTTTATCAGAAATATGATCCTTTTGTTTTAATAGTGCCTACTTTATCATTTGTTGAAGGCTAAACTAATGAAGCTGAAGAAGGCTCATCATTGAAATTTTTTGTTTGATTGCAGTGGTGCAGAGATTGGTCGATTTGTAGTTATGCTTCGTAATTCCTCTAGCATACTTAGAGCCTGTGCTGCTTTTGCTCTTGTGCAGGTAATTAGAGAAATTATTTTCATGTTTTTTCGTAAAGATGACTGATGGATGCAGATTTAATGACCATTTGTATGTCTAACTTGAATCTTATGACTTCTCTTCTCATAATTTGTCTTCTTCTTTTTCTTGTTTTTTGTCCTTGCTTGTTATGAGCATGTTCATCAAAGGTAACTTGGTCCCGGCTTGTGGTTTATAATGTCTACTTATTACCCTAAATTTATCTTCTTTTTGAAGGACCTAAAAATAATAATCTAAATTTACTTTTGGTATTTTAGATTAGTACTCAACATTGTGTAATGATTTGAGAATCTGTCTGAATGTGTGGGACCCAATTGTGACCTTAAACTTTAGGTATCAATGTGTGACCTTAAACGTCATGGACCAGGTGTTATTTGACTTTATATTGAATAGCAGGGTGGAGTGTAAGGATTTATGGCTAGTTAAAGAAGGCTGTTTCTCCGAGGGCGCGCGGGCGCGTCTTTGTGTGCGCCTTAGCCTGGCTCATTGGTTGTGGCCTTTGGTGTAAGTCCCTCGAGTCGGGGGTTCGATCCCTGCATAGGATCGGATTGCACACCTTCTGAAAGGAGGGTCCGCCCCTCAGTCAAACTATGGGGTTGATCGACGATCAATCTTTATATATATATATATATATATATACAGTGTGTGTGTGCGTGTGTGTGTGAAGCACAAATGTTGAGTTAGCACGGATTGCACTAATTAAACTTTGTGATATATAAACTGAACCACAAAAGTTAATTTTTATGTGTGCAATACAACCAAATCACTAAGAATTGTAGTCAATAGTTTTACTGGTATTAGAAGCATTTGGATGATTATTTTACAAATATGTAAGATTTTTTATGTTATACATAAAATTACTCCTTTTATTAAAATTTTATTTCATATTAAATTTAAACATGATTTTTTATATTTTATAGGCATGTATCAGAAAAATGACAATGAAATCATTCAAGTCATTGCAAAGCCTGCATCATATTAGTTATCATAAATTGTGAACTCTGAAACTTTAAACTAATTCTGCTGTTGTTTCTCAATTTTTTTTTTAAATACTTTATAAATTTTTAAAGTTAATGTTTTGATCTTTTTATTGTACTTTCTTGCTTTTTAACCCAAATAAAAATAAAAATGCAGTTCACTATTCCTGGCGGAAGGCATGCGATGCATCATGCTAGTCTCTTGCAGAAAGCTGGGGTGACTAGAGCCTTACGCGGAGCTGCTGCTTCAGCATCAGCTCCTTTAGAAGCCAAAGTCTTTGCGAGGATAGTCCTTAGGAATCTCGAACACCATCAGTTAGAAGCTTCTGTGTAGAAGTTGTTCAACACATCTCTCTTCTTTTACTTTGCTTTGGAGGTCAGTACTTTTCTTCTAATTCTTCGCTCTATCGCTAATAGAAGCCCCCCAAAAATTGCAGTTACTGCCAGTTTCTAAGGATTCTGCAAGGGTCCTGGTGAATTGCCAAATAATAATACGAAACTTTGGCCTGCAATGTCATGTTTATTAGACATTTGATGTGGTTTGGCTGTCTGTAATCTTTAATTTGGTGAGCATGTTGTTGTTACTCTTGTTATTTTTTAATATGTTTGATTTACCATGTAAAAGGTGCTGGATGTTCTTAAGTAGACCAGTATCCGTCAGTTTTGCGCTATTATTATTTTTTTTAGTGAATTTGAAAGAGATTAAAAGCAATATTGCATACACTTTTTATTTGTAATCAACTTTGTTTTTATGTGCTATTTGTAAGTTTAGCTGACTTTAAATTTGATTGTGTAATATCCTCAACATGAACGTAATGAAATTAGTGGGAGAAAGTGTTTGCGTCTTTGGGGCCTTGGTTGCTTCTTCCCTTTCTCTGCGGGCAGTTTTTCCTATTTTTCCTATCGATTGAGTTGATAAAAAAATTTTTTTTCGTGCTCAGGATGGAATAATTAAAAATTTTAGTCAATTTAATTTTGCTTTTATGAAGGGATAAGCGTGTATTATAATTTTCATGGCAATTGTTATTATTGTTTGGAGTACACTCAAGCCTAACAATGATGTAATCAGTTCATCATTTTTTTCTGTCTGCTTAATATTCTATGGATAGTTCAGAATTCTGGTTTGGGTTTAATATTGCTATGCTCAAGGGATTTATTAAAAAAAACTAGGGCTAATGTTTCAGGTGGTGTAATGAAAATAGAATGTTTCAAGTACTTTTGTTTGAGGAGGATTTTATTTGTTTTATCAATTTGGGTGATAGCGGTATGTGTTTTATTTCTTGTTGTTCAGGGTAAGTTTGAGGCGGAAGCCGGTAGCCATCTCTGTTATCTTTGCTTGTACGTTGTTGGCTGCATATGGTGCTTATGATTTTATGAGCCAAGCAACAAAATCTTACCTCTTGATGTTTGAGTGTACTCCAAACAATAATAATAATATTCAGAAGGCTATAGTTAGGGTCTGTTTGGGGCAGCTGCAGTTTCTTAATTTTTCGGTTACAGCTCAGCTGTCTCAAAAAGCTGCTGTGGGGAAATTGATGCCGGGAAGCTGGTTAGTTGTTTGTTGTAGCTGTGTAAATTTCTTATGCATTTTCATAGTCTTGTTCTGCAATCTTTAACGACATATTAGAAGGCAGTGGTCAAATATTTTTTTAAGTATTTAACTTAAATGTTATATTATATTTTAGATTTATCCCACTCAAGTCTTTCATGCCACTTCAAAAATATTATTATTTAATTTTTAAAATGCATAACATATATTTTCAAGGTAATGTGACCTATAAGAAAAAATTCAAATTTAGCCGGTAGATATGTAAATGCATACGAATTAAGTGGTATGAATATAAATCTTTCAAAGATTTATTGAGGGAGATAAATTATGAAATAGTTTGATTTATTAGAAAGTATTAAATTTCAAAATGAGCTACTATCACATTATTCAGTGTGGGCCCGTTCCTGTAGATAGTGTTTCTTTCATGTTTCTTTCATGACGGGCTTGCAGTTGGAGAAGATGCCCAAAATGAGATGGGGAGGACGGGCAGTCCAGTACTTGGTGGGGGTCATCTTCTATAATTCTAGCCAAATCTCAAGAAAAATAGTTAGTTGTAAACTTGATTGGTCTATTCAATTCTTCTCTATAGGGGAAGAAGTGCGGAGTCCACTTAAGGCTTCATAATTTGAGGGCCAACATATTATTCATTTATGCAACCATGGAATCGTTTGTATGCTCATTTTTCTTGTGGTTCGCTGGAGCAGCGGCCCAGCCAAGGGGAGTTTTGGAAGAGGCAATTATCCCTTCTAAATTTTGTTAAAACTTCTTACTATCATATATACACTATAATATTGTCTCCCCTTAATGATAATTTAATAAATAATATATAATTACTTTAAATAATTTATAGTAATAATAAAATAATTCTGATTAAATTTAATAGTGCTCTAGAATGTTATCTGAAATACTTTATATACATCTTCCGAAATTCAAAAAAGATTTTCTCTATTCTCAAACAAAATTTAAAATTTTTTTTATGAGTTTAAATTTTGGATGAAAATGTTTCGTGGTATATAAGTGAACTAAAAAATTTTAGATCTTAAATATATTAATTAAAAAATTTCGAACGGTATGTATGATGGTCACTTATTTAAAATTTAATTAAGATCAATTTTCACGTGTCAATTTACGATTTCGTCGGGTGGAAAGATAAATTACTCCAAAATTTTCACAGGCAGCCGACAGGCTGCGAAGTGTCCAATCGTATGCTGACGCGTCCACGCATCCTTTCCTCCACCTCTCCGAAGTCCCAATTACGGGGGAAATAATAAAAAACGAATTATTTTAGTTGTTCACGTTCAATAAAACATACTTAAAATGAAGTACATACTGACCCCTCCCAAAAGAGCATTTATGTGTGATGGACAGCCCATAACTTAAATAATATTTTTCGGTCTTACACCTAGCCGATGTGGGTCTTTTTGTCCGTGATAATAGACTCTGTACTTTTGAAAGCTTCATATAGATTGGAATATTATTTTATTTCTATGCTTTGTGGATGAAATTAAAATTATTTTTAATTGATGCGCCACTAACAAATTTTCATTATTCGACATGAATTTCGAGGTAATATTTTGAGCAAGAAATATTAAAATCTTGATAAAAAGTCATCCAAAGCTCTGATTTCAACAAACTTATAGTCAAACTGACCAACTCAATGAGACAAACCTAATGATGTCAAAGTTAGTCCAATCCGAGTTAGATCAAGCCCAGATTAAATCATTAAACAACTCTTGGAGGATTTCCGGACACATTTGAAAAATCAAACAAATGTCGAATTTAGCGAGTTCGTAGCCTAATCAGGCATCTCGACAATTCGAATCCAACAAAACCAAGATTGGTCAATTCCGACATCGTTATGACACTCAAATATCTATCAAACGTCATCTAATCGAGGAAACTCTTTAGACTGTTCTATCAAAATAGTTCATTTTTTTGTATTAATTGCACTCAGAACACCATAAATAGAGTCTTACCTCTCACATCAGAGGGAGGCGGCATAGAAAACTTGAGGCTTTGAAAAGGACTTCAAGTCCAAAATCATCCCTACTATCGTCAATCGTCGTCGACCGCCACCGACTGTTAGCGACCACCACCGACCACCGTCGGCCGACGTCGACCACTACAGATCACCGCTGACCTCCGTCGATCGTCATCGAACACCGCCGACCACCGCAAGTCGTCAACTACCGTCGACCCCCATCGACCACCGCTCACTTTCAACTTCCGTTGACATCCGTCATCTATCATGGATCACCACCAATCCTCTAGACGCCGTCAGTCGAGGTAGTAATCTGAAAATCTGGTAACACTTTTCCGTCTGTGGGCCAAGTGATTTTTGTAATCATCAATCAATAGTAGATTTTCGCAACAAGGCCAGACGCTATGGTTTTTTCCTTCACGAGTTTTCCACGTAAAAAATTTTGTTATCATCACAGGTTGTTTTCCTTTCATCTGAGTGTCTGTTGAATCCTCATGAACCACTAAGACGCTAATCCAATACTTTACCACCACGAATTTTTTAGCACACATAATTAATAAACCAAATTATCATGCATTTACATATCTAACACCAAACCTTAAATTTTTACATCCGTAACAGCTTATCTATATTTGATTTCATATGTATTTCACTTACAAAATTAAAAAGATGATATATTTGATGCGATATCTAAAATTTAGGCGGTACAAATGTAAATAATAAAATTAAGTTGTATAGTTTGTAAATACATAAGAATTAGGTGGTCTCTACATAAATGCCCATAAAATAAAAAATATATTTTTCATTCTAAACAAGTACTTGTAAGATTTGATTATTCCACATTTGCCGGCTGCCGCCCCTTTCTTTTACTATCAGGTTGTGATGTAAAGCGGAGGTCAGAGAAGACCCCTTTTTCACTCATGGGGCCCCGTCCGAAGGCTATAAAACCTACTTCTGTTCTCGATCTGGTGATTTTTTTCTTTCCCTCTGCGCGATTCTGCTTTTCTTGCGATCGACAGTGGTTACTGGAACGTAGTTGTGATTCAAAGGAAAAGAAATGGGTAGCGATGGTGGAGCTTATGTGGAGGAATCCTGCGTCGAGGGAACCCGAGATTTCAGCTCTTCGGAGGTCTCCTCCTCTGCTGACCATCTGGTCGTAATGGTCCATGGAATACTTGGAAGGTTTTATTATGATCTTCTCTGTTTCATCCTTCTTTTTTATTTTTTTTTTTCTTGTTTGATTTTGGATGATATTAGAAGAAGAATTTGACTGGTCCTGGATTGATTGCTTGTCATTCTGTTACTGTGGATGGGATCATACTTGTTCTCCTCTTGTTGATTTAGTTGTTCGGAGAAGTCGGGCCTCTATTTATTTTTCTTATGTTTTATGTTTTCTGGATTTTCAATGGCATTGGTATGACGGTTGGCTGGTGACGCGTATGTGTCGCTAGACATCTGGATTTTCAGTTTTATATTGATGAGTGGTAGAAAAATAAGTATTATGATAATAATTTTATAATTCTGTTAGGATATGGATAAACATGGGTAGGGCAACTGGTTTGACCAAGCTAAACAGATTTGAATAAAAAAATCTTGGATTGATAGGATAGGATGCGATGATATATATTTTTTATTTCTTAATTCGGATCTTTAGCTGAAGTTTGCTATGTCATTAATAATCAGAGTTATCTTTTTCCTAAAATACCTTTTGATCAAAGAGGAGGAAGAACTAGAATGGGATTAGTGAAGTTGGAGGTGGAGATGATCATTGGAATTAGCATCATGTACCTTCATAATGACTAATTGTGGTAAATTTTGGGTTTCCTTCTTCAGTTCATTCTCGTGCTGTTTATATGCATTCTGTTTCACTAATGCCTCAATTAATGTATGCCTTTGTTATAGGTTCATGCTATTTCCGCGTTGCTTATGCCAATTCCTGTTAGTTTTTTTATATTCACGAATCATTAACTTATCACACTCAGTGTCATTCAGAACAACTTTGTAGAAAATGTAACATGAGGAAATTTTATCAAATTTAAAAAAAAAAATCATGAATCAGTGATCTTGTTCATATTATCATAACATTATTGTATAGAGAAAGAGATAAACCCTAATAGATATTATCATTGCATGAATTCATGATACTCATTTATAGTGCAATGTTTTGCTGTATAGGATCGAACTAAATTTGAGTCTATTTCTTATTATATCTTTTATGTCTGCTTTTGGGAATCCTGCTCATCTTTTCTATTTTTATTTTATTTTATTTTATTTTTTTTGGTAACTTTTGGGACTTTTTGTCTTTGTGGGGGAACAATGATTGTTGAAGCAGACGTGTGGATTGCGTGGGGAGGAGTTGGGCTGTGGGAGGATAGTGGAAAGAGATTGTTTTGGATGGTGATTCTTATTTCTTCTTGTTAATGTGTGCGCTTGATCTAACTATTTCTTAACTTTCATATATATTTTTATCTCTACATGCTAGTGCCCACTGTTGGAATACTTCTACTTTTTCTTGGCTTTGATTTTGATGACCCTTTGTTTTTTTTTTCCACTTTCAAAAACACAACCTTTCCCTGCACTTAACCCAATTTCTTCTTTAATTTGATTTAATATGCAGCACTAGTGACTGGAAGTTTGCAGCAAGCCAGTTTGGGAAGGCTTTTACAGACACAGTTATTGTTCACTGTAAGTAAGCTAGTGACATCTTACTGGGTACATGTTTTTGCATTTGAGGTTATTCCACGTACTGTAGCTTAGTTTCATCATTTCAAATTTGAAAAATGATTTATAGCCAAACTTCTCTATCCTACCTTTGAAATTTTGTGTACATCTGCAAACATCCCACAGAATTTGAAAATATACTATTCCCAGCTTAGGTAAAATTAAAATTTATGTTGCCGTTTTTGTGTAAGTCTGCCAAGTTTCCAACCTCTATTAAATTTGAAATTGATAATATTCTCTTTCTTAGGAGGCTTTGAATTGTTGATATCCCTAATGGAGATAGAGGGTGGTGATGAACTTAATATCGGTAGAAAATTGTAATTTTAAAGTTTGAAAAGTACACTTCAACAATTTATTGAGATGCCAAATCATCAAACGATAGACTGATGTGCCATTCTTGCAGACTATAGTGTTTTTCTTTTTTTTTTTTTTTTGG